GATAGCGGCTTCAGTAACACCATTGCCATATTAACACTATTGCCATAGCAACACTATTGCCATAGCATTCAGCTGGTCAGACCTCAAAAATGGGTTTCAGTGACCAACATCAGGTTACCAGCAAGCATCTGGAATCTCTAGGGGAGAGGGACTCTGTTCCCTACCCCATTTGCAGCTTCTAGTTTACCTGCATTGGTCTCATCTCTCTAACCTCAAGACACTATGTGCGCCATCTCTCTTGTTTCTGACCTACGCTTCTACCACCATGTCTCCTTCTCTGACCATGGTGCACTGCCTCCCTCTTGTGAAGACGCTGTGACTACACCAGGCATCCGGACAGTCCAGCATCCTCACTGCTCTCTGCTTCCCTCATTTCCCTTTGCCATGTAGTGTGGCCATGTGAGGGCTAGATCCTATGTGGACATCTCTTGGGGTACCATCATTCTTCCATAGCATTGTGTGCTTGGGGATCTTCAAAGGTTTAGGATAAAGTATAACCAAGGGTCTAGATTCTTGTCACATATGCTGAATTTGCACTCCACACTGGAAAGCAATAAGAACCCACTTGGTGTGATGGATTTCTGGTCTGTTTGGATTTTTGAGACATTACTCATTCAAGCAGTTGTGCGATGGGACCTGCTGCTGAGAGATGAAAGGGTATTGCAGAGGTCTGTCAGGGAGGCTAGAGCAGGGGATCACGTGACATCCATACTGCCAGAGACACGGGCAGTGAAAGGACTCAAGAAGGGACAGGTGAAATATTCAGAGCAGGTCCTGGTGCTTTGGAAAGTCAGTGTCCAAATGGCACCAGATGGTTGACAGAGTGTCAAACCTGAGGATGTCCAAATGGCACGTCGAGGAAGGAAGAAAGGCGGGGAGTCTCCATCAACAGCAGGGTCACAGGCAGCTCCTTTTCCCAGCAACCCCATGTTCAAGGACAAAATGGGGAAGAAATTTTTATTTTTGTTTTATCTTGAAATGGTCTCATTATATGGCTCAGGGTGGCCTTGAATGCATCATCCTCCTGCCTCAGCTTCGTAAGTGCTGGGATTACCCTCACCACCATTGTCACATGAAACTGTATTTCTCAGAAACAGTGACTTACTTTCCTCAAGCTGATTTACTGAGTACCATAGTGGTTTCTCATCAGAATATGTAAGGCTATTAAGGCAAGCTGTGTCAACTGGTCCATTCTGTTCTCCCACCTTACAATACAGAGCATAGTACCTAAGATAGGTGTACATTCCTCTTATCTAGGCTATCAGAATTATTGCAGTAACTTTGGGAGTTATAAAGGGAGAAAAGGGTCTGGGAGTCACCATTTGGCTTGCTCTCACTTTTTTTCCTGTGGAATTCTAGAGATTTGCAGAGACTGGCCCCTCTTGGCTCTTTCCCTGGGTTAACTGCCCTCTCTACCCAACTCTGTTCTCCAACCTGGAAAAGTACGGGGATAAGTAGGTTTGCGTTTGAAGCATTTTTAAAGTAAGGTTGATTTAGTCTCTCTGAACTATTGCAGACATAAAAGTAGAGACCTTTCCAAAAGGTTGAGTATGTGTGGAATTTGCTTCATAAGCCAATGTTTATGAATTATGAGAGGGGCAGAGATTTTATAGCTTTCCTGTCTGATTATTGATTTTGTTTTGCAGTAAAAGGGTAGAAATACTTTTTTCTAGAAAAATTTCTTTCTTGGACCAACATAATGGCTCCCCACGCAAAAGCACTCATTCACCTGTGAGCCGATGGCCTGAGTTCAATTTCTGGTACCCACGTGGTGGAAGAATACTGTGGCTCTCTGACCTCCACATGTGTAGGCTAGCAGCATGCACAACTCATGCCCATCTACTCCACATACAAAATAAGCAAATTAGTGCTTAAGAATGAAATGTTTCTCTCAGACGCTCGTTTTCAGCATATTAATGAATATATATATTTTATGGCCATTAAGGTCCATGAAGATTTATGTACAGGAGTAAAGTAACGAAATGACAAGGAAGGATGACCAAGTTATATTATTAAATAAAAACAAATTTACAACAGTGCATATGCCACTATTTGTTACATTTGTATACAGATTACATGAGTACTTGTAAGTGTATACAAACACTTTGGAAATAATCTCTGAGGCTAAATGAAACTAGTCTTCTGTGTACCAGGGCCAAATAGAGCCAGACAATTTTTTTGTAGTTGTTGTTTTTCAAGACAAGGTTTCTCTGTGTAGCTCTGACTGCCTGGAACTCACTCTGTAGACCAGGCAGACCTCAAATTCACAGCAATCTGCCTGTGTCTGCCTCTTGAGTGCTGGGATTAAAGGCCTGTACTACCACTGCCTGGCTGCCAGACAATTTTTTGAAAAGTAATTTTCTATGCAATTTTACATTATTGTAAGTAGTACCTTTAAAGTTAAAAATTTTAAGATATTTATTTGTTGTTACAGAACATTAAAACTGACCTTGAGAATTTTTTGTTTTGTTTTTTATATTTCGAAACAGGGTTTTTCTGTATAGCTTTGGTGCCTGTCCTGGAACTAGGTCTTGTAAGCCAGGCTGGACTTGAACTCACAGAAATCCGCCTGCCTCTGCTTCCCAAGTGCTGGGATTAAAGGTGTACACCACCAATGTCTGGCAGAGAATTTTTTAATTGTAAAATTTGCAAACTATATTTTATTTACTATGTCCTGTCTTCAAGTAGGAAAGATTGTAATAAATAGCTCAATTTTCTTTCAGTGTGGCTAGTTATACTCTCATGCATTTACAAGTTCATGTCTAAAAGATCCTTGATATCAGGAAATTTGGTTTCTTTTATAACTGCTAAAATAATAGAAACTGTGATAGAATTTTCCCAATATATGATGAATTAACTACTAGCAGTTGTTGTGGAATAGTCTTTTTATACACTGAAGATGTGCTGCTCTCATTGGTTTAATAAAGAGCTAAATGGCCAATAGCCAGGCAGGAAGAACTTAGGTGGGACTTGCGGACTGGCTTGAAAAAAGAAGGGCAGAGTCACCAGGAGATGTGGGGAGAAGCAAGATGAAATGCTCTGTTGAAAAAAAGGTACCGAGCTACATGGTAGTATATAGACTAAAAATATGGGTTAAGTTGTGAGAGCTAGTTAGTAACAAGCATAAGCTATGGGCCAAGCATTTATAATGAATAATAAGTCTCTGTGTTGTTATTTGGGAGTTGGCTGGCAGGACAGACTATTTTGCCTGTGAGCAGCTTAGCTTTTTTCACGTGTGTCTATGTGATGTATTTATTTTTGTGATAAGAATTTAGAAGTTGTGCTTAAACAATAACAAAGTCAAAATTAACTGCCACCTGCAGTCCAGAGATGGTCACTCTTATATATCTGGCTTGCAGAGTCCTTTCTGCTCAAGTTTCCTGTTATTTACTACAATGCATTTTGTGGTCTTTTAAGAGGACAAATCCTAGAGCTGGCGGTGGTGGCGCAGGCTTTTAATCCCAGCACTTATGAGGCAGAGGCAGGCGGATCTCTGTGAGTTTGAGGCCAGCCTGGTCTACAAGAGCTAGTTCTAGAACAGGCTTCAAAGCAACACAGAGAAACCCTGTCTCGAAAAACAAAACAAAACAAAACAAAAAACCCCAAAACATTAAAAAAGGACAAATCCCATAAATTCCTTAAGCAGTTTATTTTGGTTTTTCTTTCAAGTGATCAAGTGAGACCTTTCCCATTATGCTTGAATCTCTCCTTGGGGTATTTGTTACGTAATGGAGTCTTCTGACCGTGAACAGTTCTAATCATTTCTCATTTTGGCTCCATTAGTTTTTCCAGGGCAAAAACTTTATCTTATGCAAACTAGAGTGCATAGTGTTTCAGAATGAAGCAAACACACACCATCCTGCTTAGAATTTAAAAGTTTCTCTGGAGACTTTCTCACAGAGATGTCCAGAGGTGTATCTCCTAGGCTCTTCTGAATGCAACCAAGTTGCTATTGGAGAGTGACCATTACAAGATATAAGCGGAAATAGATGAAGTACACATGCCTATGGCGGGAGACAAAGATCAAATTAGTAATTATGCAGATGTGAGGACAGATGCATTATGGTGGAAGAGGCCGGAACAGGATGAGAGAAGCAAGAGGCATTCTCTGACTCTGAGGGAGAGCTGTCAGTCAAGCAGGGCGTGGCTTGGTTCTCACAGTGTCGGCGGAAATGAGCGGAAAGGATGCGGACTTTGGGAGAAGCTTATTGTATAAGATGTGAGTGTGAGCAAAGAGCAGCCTTTGGGGGAAGCGCCAGTGTTATTAAAGCCTTAAAACACAATGTTTGTGACACAGACTCAGGAGAAATTACATGCTAGAGTTTATATAACCTTATTCACAATACGCTGGCAGGGTGTTAGAGTCACGGACCTTTGCTACTTTCTCTCCCCTTTAAGATTCATGTTATTGTAAAAATACCATTAGAGGTGACCACTTTCCCCTACTGTGTATGGAACGACAATTTATGAAATGAGGGCGCTATAACTCAACCCCATTTAATTAGCCTGTCTGCCGTGGAGGTGCGTTTTCTCGGAGTGATGCCTGCTTACTTCAGTGCTGCCGCAGATGGGGGCTCAGGAAACAGGTTCTGAGGCAGGTTTGGGGTGCCAGGTCTTTATCAGGACCCACACCTGTGAAAGGAAGGTGGAGGAGCCTGGATGTCCCAAGAGAGAACTAAGGCAACAGGAAGCTATGAAGTCCATTTTCCAATGAGAGCATCATGTGTCGGGCCAAGCCGGCTCAATAACCTCTGTTCCTTAGACAGTGGTCAAGGACTCTCTGTCCCCAGGATGCTCTGCTTTTAGATAAGGCTGATTTCTGCAGCCAAGTCCAACCCTGAGGGAGGTGACAGTAGGGGCTGCCTGCTGACTGAGTTTCCTCAGCAGCAAGTCACTCCTGGAAAGGGCTGGTCCACTTCTACGTTCTCCACACTGTATCACAGTGAGAATGAAGAGGTCATTCTTCAACTGATATATCTGTTTCTTTCCAAAAATTCAAGACATCCAGCCCCCAACAAATCACCAAGTATTCATCAGTAGACTCAATGGCATAAAGGAAGATCAGGAGGGGAAAGAGTAGAGGTGACTAAGAACAAGAATGGCACCGAAGAGGACCTAGGAAGCAAGGTTAGCCGGGAAAGCACTTGCCACACAAGTATGGGGACCCAGTTAGATCATCAGTTCTATATAAAAGCTCGGTCTGGCGGTGTGTGCTCGATCTCATCCCTGGGAGGGCAGAGAAACTGATCAGTGGGCGCCAGTGTCCCGTGGAAGAGAGTCTGGCTCTTGAGAAATGACACCAGATTTGGCCTCTCGCCACCACTGTGCACTTACATATGTGTGCACCCTCACTAGGTGCACACACACACAGATGAATGGCCCAGAAAAAAAATACCCTGGAGTTATGACAGCCACTCCCGGTTATCACTTTTGAAAATAATTAAGTCAACACATTTTTAAAAATATTCGAAAATCAGTCTGTGAAATTTAAATGGTCTCTTGTTGCTTGACAGATACAGAAAGCATGGATAAAAAAGACTGGTTATTCGTAATGATTCAGAGAAATGACAGATCAGGTGTTTTTCCCTTACTTCCATCTGTCCCTTTTGATTTATAGCATATTATGCAGTTTTAAAATTATGCAAACTTAGAATGCTGATTCTAAAATTTTAATAAGGAAAACTAGTTTTGCTTACACTGAATGACTGGCCACTTCTCTTGCAAGGGGTCTGTTTTAGTCACAGCTGTGGCCAGGACACCGTTGCCTTCTTCTGAGATGTTTTTCCTGACGGCATTTGGAATTCTCTTATAGCAGATACTAGTTATTCATATCGATGCAAGTGTGCACTTTTGTTAGAATTGTTTGGGTTATTGTGATTTATGCATTGGCCTTTGTAGACCTCTTCCTATAATTTAGCAAAAAGGTTAATCTGCTCAATTAGGATAATATATGTCTTTGGATGGAGAGTACACAAATATTTTACATAGTTAGAGTTTTATTTGAACTATTACATATTTAGTGTTAATTGTAGAGTTATTTAATTTGTATTTTAATAAATAAAGCTTGCCTGAAGTTCAGAAAAGAAAAACAACCCAACTAGTCAGCCTTACAGACCAGGCAGTGACACACACCTTTAATCCCATTAGGCACACTAGTTTGCCATAGAAACCGGACAATACTGGTGCCCTCTTTTAATCCCAGCCTTAGAGGGGAATATAAAATGGGAGGAGACAGCTCTCAGATACATTCAGTCTCATTCTGAGATTCCTGGAGGCAGGATTGCCATTTCAGACTGATGTAGAGGTAAGAGCCAGTGGCTGGCTGTTTTGCTTTTCTGATTTTTGCCTCAGGCGAGCTTTATTTATTAAAATAAATCCAGATGAAATATCACTACAATTAATTAAAAAGTTTTTCAAATTTAACTTTTTGAGTTAGAAATTCATTGGTGCTTCAATATCTACTCATGAAGTTTGTTTAGTAGAGATGTGATGCTTAAATATTTACTGTTGATGATGAACATATTTTTAAAAATGTCTGAAATGCAAGTACATTGAGTAGCATCATAATTTCTAGCACTGGCAGCATTCTATCTAGCTCACAGAATTGTCCTTTTTATGCCCCATTGGAAGCGATGCCCTACAAGGACTGCAGCTGCCATGTTATATACACAGAGAATTAATACATCATGACTGTTGTAACCATCTTTTATTAACCTCAATATTTTTCCCCTAACTAAATTTCTAAATTTTGAGCTTGAATAATGTGACACCATTTCTCTGTTATTCTCTGTGTTTTACATAAACCAGATAACCTGGCATTCCATATGAAGAACGGGATGAGAAACTTCAGGTATAAGCCAGCAGACTACCAACAGTTACATGCCTTAACCAAAGCCACGAAGTTAGCATCTGCTTCCACGGAGAAGAAGGTTAGAGGCTTTTTTTTTAAAGTTTGATAAACTGAATTTCTAGGAGGGATGATGATATTTATAGTGGAAATAGAAAACAAGGGATTGTCCAAGTCATTTTTAGAACCCCAACTATTAACAATAGTGTCTCCCAAGTTTTGCCTAGTTAATGTTTAACTGACCCTGAGATCTCAAATCCAATGTTGTTTCTTTTTTAAAAAAACAAAAACAAAAACAAACAAAAAAACCTTTTCTAAGAATTCCTTTAGAATCAGGTCTAGTTACTATATAAGGGAGGTATGTGTTATCGCAGTTAGTATTTAATATAATTTTATTCCCAAGCTTATCTGGCCGACCACCTCTTTATCTCAGCAAACAGTGCCTTCCACAGAATAAGAGATTAAACTGTTAGTCACGTGTCTGCAAGCTAAGTAGGAGACACAGCCTGAACTTTGTGGTCTGCAGTGATTAAATAGAGAAAATACTACAACCAATTGAGAACTAGTAAAGTGTGAATTGTGTCTTTAATTGTGCTATGTCGGAATCCATGTGTCAGAATCCTCTACCCCATAGGATGAATTCCTATGGTTGTGTCAAAATTAATGAATACTTTTACTGTGTTGAGATCTACCAAGTTTCTTTTTGAAGCAAAAGTACTACAACATCTCCTCTACATCTTTGTCAATATTAGAATATATAAATATTCATTAATAATTGTATCCATGCACCTACTCACACATTTGAGATGCATCATAAAAGACATTTGGGTTAAATGTTGATTCGTTGAGTGTTAGCTTCGGTATTTGGCCGAGGCTAATTTCTCTTTAATCATCGCTCCCAATCAGAAGCTATACTTAGGCCTTTAGTTACTAAAAGCGTTACATTTTTATCACTAAGTACAAGATGAGACGCTGTTCTTCAGTGTCAGCTTTTGGGCGTCATCTCAAGCCCCTGGATGCACCTCTCAGCTGCCGTACATAACAGCATCACTGGTCTTTTCGTTCATAGTAGACTCTAATCCCCAAAGAAGTGTTTTGGTTACATGTTTTTGTAGAAATAATGGAACCTAAGATTTGTACTCTGGTAGATTTCTTTAATTACTGAAAATAGCCCAGTCAGTACTGTAGTGATTATTATGTTAAGTTTTTGATTCTATTTTTAATCCCCACAGATTCATAATACAAGGAAGTATCTTTTGAGAGCGACTGTGTCTAGTCTGTTGTTTTGCATTTCGGTTAGTGAGAATGAATGTGTTTTGAGAACTGCTACATAACTTTCTGATACTTTGATTTTTCTTCATATAATTTACATTTTTATTACATCTGGATTAAGGAAGATTTGTTAGGAATGTATTGTATATAAATTCTGGAGGTTTTTTATTCTCATTCAACTTAGAGAATTTACATTGACATTTTAGTTTACTTTTTAAGATGCAAATAATTACTAAATAGTGTTTCCTTAGAAGACTCGGGGCTTAAATAGGATTAAATAGCTAGGAATTATATAAGACTCTTAAAATCTATTTTAGCATTATTGATGTTTATATGTCAAACAGTCTGTACTAACTAGAATTACCAATGTTATCTCTGTTAGTCATGTTTTTATTATTACTTACATTTTTATAAAATATGTACAGGCTTAAAGAGTAATGTTTCACGGGCTTTGTGGGAGCCTTGTCTGTTTGGATGCTCACCTTCCTGGACCTGGGGGTAGCGGGGAGGACCTTGAACTTCCCATAGGGTAGGGAACCCTGACAGCTTTTTGGCCTGGACAATGAGGGGGAGGGGGAGCAGGGAGAGAGGGGAGGGAAGTGGGAGGAGGGGAGGAGGTGGAAATTTTTAATAAAAAAAGAGTAATGTCACAGAGATAGCAGTTCACTCTGAATATTGGTATTAATCATGTCCAATTTCCTACTCATTTCACTACTGTATTCTTCACTGTTTACAGATGAGATTAACAGTCTTAACAGCCATTGTTAATGGTCACAACACTTTACTCTAGCAATATCAAGTACACACAGAATGGTAGGATGTTGACGTGTAGACCCATAAGGAAAATAGCACTTCAAGCTAGATCTGGACCGCTCAACCGCTCGCCAGGATGTCGTTACTGACCTAGGGGTGTGGGGTAATGTGATGCTGTTCTGTATAATCCCTGTGTCACTGAGCATGGTCAGTTTCTGATGCCAGGTGAGACTCCGAGGTAAATAAACATCAAGCTACCCAAGGACCGACTGGTCTCTAATCTGAAGCTGTATAGTGGACCCGGGCTGGAAACTGAGGCCAGTTTGTGGTACACCGTGTCTCCATTTGTAGTTTATTAGTTTAGAAGCAATCTTCACAATTATTTTGATTTGACTTCCTTTGTTTTGGATGGGTTTGTCTTCTTTTTTAATTCAAATATCCGTCCATTAAGTCTTCCTAACTTTATAGAGAACTGCACACATGACCGCAATTAAAGGTGTGCTGAGTCACTGTGTGACATCATCCAGCTTCAAACGGGAGCAGCTTTGGCCACGGTTTTCTTTATGATGATGCTACCACACCCGCCCCCATGCTAAGCTGCCCTGAAGCAAACCATTGATGTCATAATATTTCACGTAGAAACATGGAGTATGTCACTCTAAAACATTAGAATTTAAAAGCCCTCTCATGCCACTATCATGTATGAAAGTGTTAGCTTCTCAATAATTTGTCTTATGTAGTTAGTATTATTAAATTTCCTTGTGTGTCTTAAAAGATTATTTCCAAAATTTCCTCAAACGGGCATCTGAATACAATCCAGACATGGCGATTCATTCTTGTTATTTTGCTTCACTTGGTTTCCCTCCACCCTCTTGTAGGTTTGTAACTTGTAAGTCCTGAAGAAGCTGCAGTATATTGGTCTTATAGTTCCTCATAGTTAGAATTATGCCGACTGCATCATACTGTGTCACTAAACTCGTTTTTCTCTTTGCATTTCCTGCACTTTGTTTTATCTATCTATCTATCTATCTATCTATCTATCTATCTATCTATCTATCTATCTATCCATCCATCCATCCATGTATCTATGTATCTATGTATCTATCTATGTATCTATCTATGTATCTATCTATGTATCTATGTATCTATGTATCTATCTATCTATCTATCTATCTATCTATCTATCTATCTATCTAT